GGCGCTGGGGCAGCAGGAGGCCCCATTAGCTAGTGGTGCTTCAGGTTAAGAACAGTTTCAGGTTAAGAACAGACCTCCAGAACGAATTAAGTACTTAACCCGAGGTACCACTGTATGTGCTACAGGTAAAAAATACATATACATATGCCACAACGGACCTCAGATTTCCAAAACTTAGGGTGGGTGGGGAAGTCCTAACTGTGGGACTTCAGTGAAACTATTATCACAGGAAACATTTAGATTCAGAAGTATACAATTGGAAAGTGCTCATGTGTAGATTCACGCCTACATATGCATGAATACACTAGTGTGGACATAGGCACACTAAACTGCTTTGTGGTTTCTTTCTACAATCAAGTTGTATATAAAATAAATAAATTATCGAGTGTGGGGACCCTTTGACCCTCCAGCTGCTGTTGAACTAAGGCTCATCAGTCCCAGAAAGCAGTCAATGGCCAGGCATGAGGGGAACTGTAGTTCCAACATCATTTGGAAGCAAAAGGTTTCCCACACCTGGCCCTAAGTGACTACAATTCTGACTCAAGTTATCTTCTAGCTGCTAAGTTTTAACACCTTTTACACAAGTATGTCAGGCCTCGGTCCTGTATACCTGAAGGAGCGTCTCCACCCCCATCGTTCAGCCCGGACACTGAGGTCCAGCTCCGAGGGCCTTCTGGTGGTTCCCTCATTGCGAGAAGTGAGGTTACAGGGAACCAGACAGAGGGCCTTCTCGGTAGTGGTGCCCATCCTGTGTAACGCCCTCCCTTCAGATGTCAAAGAGATAAACAACTACCTGACATTTAGAGGACATCTGAAGGCAGCCCTGTTTAGGGAATTTTTTAATGTGTGACATTTTAGTGTATTTTTGGTCTCTGTGGAAGCCACCCAGAGTGACTGGGGAAACCCAGCCAGAAGGGCGGGGTACAAATAATAAACTATTATTATTATTATAAGTACTTGATAACTGCAGCATTATGTTAGAATATGCAGCTGCAGAAGAGACTATCACTGCTGAAACCCTATGGGTGAGTTTGCAGCAGCCGATGCAAAACTCCTCCTTGCATGTTTAACTATAACTTGTAATGAACCCAGATCTGGGTTCACCTCTGCCCAGCTCGTTTCCTACCGCAGCACAGGATGCGTGTGAGGGGAAGTAGCAAGGAAACATCCTGCCTCTCCTATAGTAGTTTGGATTTTTTGAGGGAAACTCACATGAAAGAATTTGTTTTCTGCAGTACAGTACATCCTCTCTCTCCCTAATTTGGACTGTGTAGCTGGGGGGTGGGGGTGGTGATGGATGTATTATCCCACTGTGCAGTCTGAGGTTAAACTCGATGGCAATTTAGTCTCATCAGACTCCATAAAAGGCAGGTTGGACCTTCCTCTTGCACCTTCTCTAGGAAAGAAGCAACACCCACAATGGCCCTGCATGGACCCCCATCGCAAGAAAGTGCTTTTCATGTAACACGAATCGGGCCCGATAGGCAGTGATTAACGACACAGGTCATTGCCAAAACTGACTGCTGCTCATTGAAGGGGTACTGTGTTGTCTTGCAGAGACTGGCTGAAGCATGAAACTGGAGGGCTGGGCAAAATGTTTCTGGACTACAACTCCCATTATCCCTAACTAGCAGGACCAGTGGTCAGGGATGATGGGAATTGTAGTTCAAAAACAGCTGGAGACCCAAGCTAGATGCACGAATTCTTTCTCGAACACACTGCTAGATGCACAAATTCTTTCTCGAACACACTGCTACTTACTGACAAAAGGGAAATACACACAGAAACCCTAACCCAATCAGTTTTCCCGCAGTTGAATAAGGGAAAGTGCTATTCCAATTACTTGGGCCCAAGTAAGTCTATGGTTTCCAAAGAGCTGGAGTGGGTCAGTATACCGCAGTCCAGCACAGCTCCTAGAAGGCCTGTAGTTTGAGTCCCACCAGCGACCGTGATGGCTGTTGCCCCCTTCCCTCCACACGTGTCTGGATGTTTATCCTCTGGTGTAAGAATCCAGGACGACTTTACAACTTCAGTTGTGGAACCCAATTTAATTAAGCAACACTGTGAGTGCATACAAAATAACAATAACGCAGATCAATGTGGTACTACAGCGTGAATCAAAAAGCAGTTGTGTGAACATCAATCACAAAAAAGATACTAAATACAATGGTGATTTCTCATTGATTGGCCTACTCCGTCCGTCCTCCAAAAAAATAACAGAACCCTGGAAGAGAGGGAGCGGGAGAACGGGGGTTACTCATAACATTTCAGCAGAACCACGAGGCCTTTCATTCTGTAATTGAACAAAAGCACGAACAAGCATCCCTGTAATTGAGCAAAAGCTATTTTACAGTTATTGGCAGCTGTATAGGATCCTTACAACTGTGGCTAATTGGAATTTAATGCAGACTCAATTAACTCACACACCTCCTTTTCTATGGTAAATTTAAGCATGAGCCAACTGAATGCTATAATCCTGCTTTTTATTTTCGTCAAACCCAACCCCAGCTGAAGTTTTAATGGTGCTTAAGTCAACACCTAGCACATCCTGCCTTTCACTTGATGTCATGGCTGGCACAGGGCTGCTCCCGAAAATGCAATCACGGGTGGTATCCTACGAGCCCATCCTACACAAGGATTACCATTGCCGCAAAAAGGATTCCCCCGCATATTCTCCTCGTCCTCTGCCCCACCTTGTGAAACGCATCACGTGATGTGATACCAACACTCAGGATTTCCCTGCTCCCACACTTGTCACAGTGTGATGTCCAATCACATGCTGAATTTTGCTACTAGACATTATGGAAGGTCAGAAAAGCAGGTGGGCTGTTTTTGGATAGCAGCCCTGTGCCATCCATACCATCAAATTCTGCCCCACAATAGCCACAGATGGATGCCCATTTGAAAGTACAACGGAGCACTTATTTGCTACTTCTAGTTCATCTGAGTTCAAGCTAGAAGCTATTTATAAGTATTTTTATTTTCTGTAATAAATCAGTTCCTATGCTCCCAGTAGCATAAAGAGGCTATTGTGTACGGTGCACGAACCTAATGTCAACCCGCTCAAGTGAATGAACAGGTGCTATAGGGTTAAAAACACACACCAAAAACTGAAATACTGGCTGGTTTCACTGGCACTTTCTAGTTGACCAGCAATCTCACCCTGAAACTGCGCCTTCCCAGTTACCACTGGAGGAAATCAACATCCGAGTTCCTTTCTTGCTTCTCTGGCTCATTTTTCAGATGCTTCATGGGCCACTTAATCTTTATCATCGGTTCCATCTGGTCCTGCAGCCGATGGCGCTTCATGTGAGCATTCCGGCTTTTTATCTTGTCAAACACTCTAGATGTAAACGGGAGATAAAGGCCAGGGTTTTTCAGTACTCAGGTGAGATGCTACAGCAATGCGAGAGTGACGCACGCATAATCCCAGTTTCGGTGCAACAGGAAGAATATGATCTCCCCCCTGACAAAGGGTGGGGTTTTCTTTCTCGCTTAGCGATGGGCACAAAGGGTGGCGATCGGCATGAACCCTGCCCAAAGTGCCATAGTAAGCCAACTATAAAAAGGGAAGGGGGCTGGGGACAAATTTATGACTAAGCACCAAGTGGACTTATTTTTAAAAAATGGCACAAGAAACCAAAACGTTGAATTGTTACCTTGTACATTCTTTACACGGGAACACACCCTGACTGCCTGTGCTTCTGGGCCTATCTAAAGTTTCTTTCTGGCTGCTGGCTGGACTGAAAGTGCTCTGTGCTGATTTTTTGTAATTCCTTGGTTTTAGCTTATTCTCCTGTTTAGGCAGGTGGCAGTGCCGTTTCTTTGGGCTGCACGCTATCTGCAAGTCATGAAACATTGGTGTTTTACACAGAAGTAATTTTCCTTCTCACACTATTATTAAGTCTCTGGCAAAGCCCAATAAAGAATCTGAAGATAAATTCATTATCTTTCCAATGTGGCTGGCGACGCTTGGTGGCACTTTAGCATTTTGAGATGGTATCAGATCTGAACCACACTGAAAGGAATGTAGTATTCAGGAGATGCAGAACATTCAGAGGCAAGATGTGGACCAGAACTCCATTCGCTCCCATAGCAAGCTAGACGAAGGGTTAAAGGGAAGGGGATGAAGTTAATCACATGATGGCTGCCAAGTGCTTGTTTTTATTGAAACAAATAGCAGCAGCATGGGGATGGAGTTCTTTAACTCTTTGCCCTGGTTAAGGACCTCATCAGTTCCAGCTCCTCCAGCTCAGACACAGACCACAGCCAAGGGCAAAATCCCTCAACACTGCTGATATTTACTAAAGAAAATGAATTATGTAAGCGACATTCATGTGATTGACATCATGTCTGCTTTGCCCCTTCATCCAGTTTATTTCGGGGCGAGGATTCGAATGTGCTTCGTTTCTTTATCAAAAGTTGTGAAGAATCATTTTTTACATATCCAGTGGTACAATGAATTCTCACCAGGGCTTGAAGTAGGCACCTTTCATAATTGCACCTATACCCAATTCTATGTGGAACTGGCGAGGGATTTGGATTCCTGAGAACCTCAGCTGCTGTTTTCAGGATAAAATCAAATCCTCAGCCCTTCTGAGAAAATGCACAAGCTGCATCTACAAAGAGGCTGCAGAGTCCAGTTTAAACCAACACAGTTCTTACACTCCTTCCGGAATGGATGGGCCAGCCTAGAGCGGCCTCTAGGTCGGTGGCTCCTAGCGATATCCAATTGCTGCTTTTCCGATAAAAGCCACAAGTAGAATTGCAGTGCACCTCCCACAATATTGGGGATACTACTCCTTCTTCTGTATGTACATCCCATTTTGTTCTGTCCACAACAGGGGGCAGGACATAAATCCAATGGGCAGGGAATGAGGTGCAATTTAACCCAGCAGTCGCTTGAAGCTCAGTGCACCTTCACCGTTAAATAACCTTTACAATAGGTGCCATTTTAATTAGTCTTTTCCAGCAACATTTTGAAATATATATATATTAGCGAAATACCACCTAAATGAAAGAGCGTTATTTATTTTCAGGTATTTCTAACTTGCCTTTCTTCACAAAGGGATCCCAGGGCAGGACACAAAAATAAGAAACTGAAATGAAGGGGGGGGGGATGAATTCTAACTCCCCTATAGGGTACTGGTATTTCCAAGTTAGAAGTAACCTGATTTAAACATCACAGAGAAGGAAACTATCAACATGGACTTCACAGTATTTGAAAAACTTAACGTCAAGGAAGTAATATTTCAAAATCAGTGTCAAAAATATCAGATGTTGCTCTCTTAAGAAGGTAGCAAAGGTAATGAATTTAAAATGAAATGTCAAAATGATCCTTCAAGTAGAGATTACAGACATCCTAAGTTATCTGAATCTCCATCAGTAAGTACAAATGAAAAAATACTGCAAGATGGTTTACTGCTGATACCCAGCTCCAAAGTGTTTAGCCAGAATCTTGCCTAATCTGGCAGAGATAGTGTTAATTTTACTGATTTGTAAACCGCTCTGGGAGCTTTTCCATCAGAAGATCAAGGTATAAATGTTTGAATGAATGCACAATGATGCATTTTATTTTAATGGGGAAAGAAAAAGAACCCTTTCTAGTCATTGCCATGTTAACAAGGTAGTTAAAGTTAGCTGGAAAAGTTTCCGTTTTCCATTTTGTTAAAGTGTTTTCTTTAAAAAAAGGTTATTTGTGCTGTGATGCAAAGCTGCTAATAAAACAGCGATTCAAAACAAAACACCTTTCTGGTCACTCCTGTGACCAGAAAAGAGATTTTGGTTTTTCAGCACTGTTTTAAACATAGCGTTATAATGCTAAAATGCTATTTCATTTAAGAGGTATTTCACTTCTTTTTTTTAATTATAGCAAAAAGAGTGCGATAGTGCTGATCAAAAGACCGATTTTAAAAGAGACACAAGATGATCAAACGGCAGCCATTGCAAAGGGTGCAGCGATTCTGTGCTGAGCTGTGATAGGTTCACCTGCCCGATATATGTCACTGCCCCCATCAGAACTCCACCCCCACCACTTAAAAAAAGAAAAGGGCACATGAATGATGCGGAGGGCATCTACAGCTATGGAAACGTGAGCTTCTCCTCCACGCCCTAAAAAAGAGCCAGACACGTTAGTCTTTCGTAGTAAAAACAACAGAGTCCCAGGACACCTTAAATACCAATACATTTATTGCCGCATGAGCTTTCGTAGACAAGCATCTATTTCAACAGATGCGTGAGGAAGCTGGTAAGGAAAAGCCGTTGTCCCCAGGAGAGTTTGCTGCGGTGAATGTTACCTTTCCTAAAGCAGGGAGGGAAAGGTAAAGGGCACAGCTTTAAATCAGTCAGTCAAACCTCTGCCAGATCCCCATCAATCTCTCATATACCTTTTCTTCATCCATTTCTACCTCATCCTGCTCTCTCTTGGGCCTCTTTTCTACTAACTGTGCTCGACTGGTGTCAAATTTTAGTATTTTTTTCCAGCTATAGTAGTATTCAACACACTGGGAAACAGTCTTAGTTTGTATCTATTGAAAAGGATGGGGGGAAGGGGGGAAAAGGGAGAAAAATTCAAAGTGAACAAAGGAGCAACTGATACAATATTAAATATACAGAATATATGTTGTTTTCGTTTTTCTCTTCGTTCTGTTCCTGCGGATCTGGGATCAGGCAATTTGTGAGCAGGGAAGTTCTTTGCGCAAAATAATCCCAAGATGCTATAATACACAGGACCACATAATCAGGGGCTTTAAATGCCAACAAAAGATTCTAAAATAGCCCAAACACTATTGGATAACCTTCAGATTAAAAACTGGAGGGGGAGACACTTTGTTTTGTGAGATGAAGCAGCCCAAAAGATGGCTCCACTGCCAACTGAAGGCCCTACCTTCTTCTGAATGAGGTAAAAATCCTTTTTGTGCAAGCCAAAAGCCTTCTTGAACAACTGCTTCTCTGCAGGAGTCCACAGATGTGAACCTGGAGGTGCAACAAGAAACAGGAGACAGGCAGTCTGCTTAATGGTCCATTGCTCTCACAAAATTAAAATCTTTATTGCCCCTCTTCTGCCTACTCTCCGTGCACTGGGAAACTTGCATGATAATGAGTTTATCGATGTGTTTGGGAAAGTCTTCAGGACCTCTGGTTTGTTTATAATTAGCATTTAAAATTCATTGCAGAGATTAATATAGCTCACATTATTTTCATAATATTAAAAACCAAGGGTGAGAGCATGTTAACGATATTTCTCATCCAGCAATGGACAAATAAGGCTCAATTCTCCAATTCTGATGTTAGCTTCAACATTTCCGCTATTTTTCGAACCTAAACTATGAAATCATAAAGCTTTGGAGGGGATGTATTTGGCTATACTTAATTTTGCGGGTGGCGCTGTGGGTAAAAGCCTCAGCGCCTAGGGCTTGCCGATCAAAAGGTCGGCGGTTCGAATCCCCGCGGCGGGGTGTGCTCCCGTTGCTCGGTCCCAGTGTCTGCCAACCTAGCAGTTCGAAAGCACTCCCGGGTGCAAGTGGATAAATAGGGACCGCTTACCAGCGGGAAGGTAAACGCCGTTTCCGTGTGCTGCGCTGGCTCGCCAGATGCAGCTTTGTCACGCTGGCCACGTGACCCGGAAGTGTCTCCGGACAGCGCTGGCCCCCGGCCTCTTGAGTGAGATGGGCGCACAACCCCAAAGTCTGTCAAGACTGGCCCGTACGGGCAGGGGTACCTTTACCTTTTAATTTTGCTGCATGCTTACGGTTAATGTTAAGGTCACAGCCTTCAATTTTCCTCCATTTAAAAAAAATTACTAGAAATGTTGGCAGTACAGAACCTTTAGTGTCCTTAATTAACATCTTTGTTTTCTACGAAGTTTCAATATGGGGCCCATCACCACCACACAAAAGCTGTTTTAATAATGCACTGACACAATGTGAACTGCTCAGAGAGAACGGTGCTCCAACACAGTAGTGAGCATTATTTCCTTCCACATGCTAGAGTGCTTCTCCCACTGCATGCCACTATGTGGCCCCACATGCTAAGAGTCACTGTGAGGAGAGGTCAGCCAACAGCACTTGAATGATGTTCTGCACCATTTTGGGGGCAATGAACATGCATTTGCATTTCATTAGACACTTATATTCTTCTTTCCCAAAGGACAATTGGAGCAGTACTCTGCTTGAGAACTACGAGGTTCAGAGTTGCATTAAATGCAATCCAAGCGTTTTAAAATCCTCTGTGCAGAATTCTGAGGCAATGCTAAGCCAGGGATCATGGTTTGTTTCCCCCCAGCGCTACTGGAGAATGCAAAGTGGGTGCAATCAACTTGTGCATGGTAAGCCACAAACAGTGCAGCGTGAACGCAGCCGCTATGGCAACTTGCTAAATACTTATGGGTTTCATGGAAGCAATGGTTATATCCTAACGTAGGCAATTTGCTTTTACCTGAGTAATGATAGTTAGCAAGAGGATGAAAGGGAGGCTTCTGTGGTCCTTGGAGTAACAGCATCTCCAGCGCGTCCTGTAATTGTTTTAGAGAAAGCTGTCATAACTCCCTCCAAGTAGAAACAAGTAAGGGAACTGGTAGAAGTCCACGAGGGAGAGAAAGAGACCGACTCCTATTAACTGCAATTAGTGAGTCCAGTCTCCCTATCAGTTGACATCTGGCAGCTGCCCAAGGCAGAGCTGTTTCTGCACAAACACTTGGAAAATATTTTTTCTTAGTGTTGCCTGAGTGCATCTGTTTCCACTGCTACAAGGCTGCACAATATGGAGGGGGCGAGCCATCCTGCGCTGATTTTCTCCGCCACCCCCCAATGTCAATGAGTCTGCAGTATGGATTCTGCAGTTTGTGCATCAATATACAGTGGATGCGTGTTGGCCAGTAGTATGCTGCGCATGGCATCAAGTGGCCGCACACTGGCTCATCACCAATATTAAACCAACATACAGTTTCACAGAGGCAAAGCAAACTAGGCCTGTCAATGGACTATACAGTGCTACCTTGGGTTGCATATGCTTCAGGTTACAGACTCCGCTAACCCAGAAATAGTACCTCGGGTTAAGAACTTTGCTTCAGGATGAGAACAGAAATCGTGCTCCGGCAGCGCGGCGGCAGCGCAAGGCCCCATTAGTGGTGCTTCAGGTTAAGAACAGTTTCAGGTTAAGTACGGACCTCTGGAACGAATTAAGTACTTAACCCGAGGTACCACTGTACTTTAGTCCATTAACAGATTACTCCACTGAAGTGTATTTGCATGCAACTGAGCCACTGCTCTCCCCGCACCCAAAACCCCCCAGATTTAATAGATTCTGTCAATATTCCTTAGCATCGGAAGCTGCTTTTACCAGGTCCAGCTATTTGTTTATCCACCCAGGTTAGAGTCTTGCCTATGTTGACTAGCACTGGCTCTCCGAGGTCTTTCACGACACCAGCTCCTTCAAACTTTTAACTGGAGACACTAGGCACTGAGCGTGGAACCTTCCGCACACAAAACATGCATCGTGCCATTCTGCCATGGGCACTCCCAATATAAATTAAACTGATCATTTGGCTAAAGCCTATTAACCCCGAAATTACGAAAGCCTTCAAAACAAGGAACCTGAGATTCTCAACAGTCCGACAAAGCAGCTCTCACAAGATGTAGCGGCGGCCACATGCTTAGATTGCTTTAAAAGATTAGACCAAGTCATGGAGGATAAGGCTATCAATGGCCATGTTCTACCTCCACTGCTGGAGGTAGTATGGTAATGATTTTATGAATGAACTGAACACTGGCTGCTGGGAATCAGATGCGGGCTGATGTGCTCAGGTCCTTCTTATGGGCTTTCCAGAGGGGCACCTGGTTGGCCACTGTGAGAACAGGATACTGGACCAGATGAGACACTGGCCTGAACCAGCAGGGTAATTTATACAGTGGTGCCTCGCAAGACGAAATTAATTCGTTCCGTGAGTTTTGTCGTCTTGCGATTTTTTTCGTCTTGCGAAGCACGGTGTCGGGAAAGTTTTGGAAAAGCTTAAAAAATCACCAAAGTCTTTAAAAACCTCAAAAAAGGCTACCACACCACGTTCTATGAGTTGCTCCTCGAAGTCGCAACTGTATTAACGGTGTTAAGAAAAAGGAAACAAACTTGCAAGACGTTTCCGTCTTGCGAAGCAAGCCCATAGGGAAAATCGTCTTGCGAAGCAGCTCAAAAAACAAAAAACCCTTTCGTCTAGTGAGTTTTTTGTCTTGCGAGGCATTCGTCTTGCGAGGTACCACTGTATGCTTATGTTCTTTTTTTAAAAAAATATTTAATCATTTTTTCAATACAAACAACCGCAAAAGACACATACAACAAAAAACATAACACTAATAACACAATTTGACAATTCAGATTTGAATACACTGATATACCTATGACTACACCTTTTCCCCACCTCTCTCTCCTCCCCCTACTTCCCACCACTATCCACCTTATCGCTTAAATATTCCTTCCAGATTTCTTCATATTTATCCATTCTTAATTTGCGTCGCCATGCAATTCGTTCGTATGTAGCTAATCTGTCCATATTATCAATCCATGTGCTCAATGGAATCTTTTTGCAGCTCTTCCAATTTATCAAAAGAAGTTTTTTTGCTTCTAATATAGCACAGTACATCCTTTTTTTTTTTTTTGGACCCCTTGTAATCTCCCACGTTTCCGGAATATAATTTAGAATTAAATTAAATTCCCTTAAATAACAATTTCTTTTTATTACTCTTGCTATAAATATCCTCACCTCGCACCAAAATGATCTTATCATCGGGCAGTTAATCATCATATGTACAGTGGTACCTCGGGTTAAGTACTTAATTCATTCCGGAGGTCCGTTCTTAACCTGAAACTGTTCTTAACCTGAGGCACCACTTTAGCTAATGGGGCCTCCTGCTGCCGCCTCGAAATTTCTGTTCTCATCCTGAAGCAAAGTTCTTAACCCGAGGTACTATTTCTGGGTTAGCGGAGTCTGTAACCTGAAGCGTATGTAACCCGAGGTACCACTGTACTAAGTTCACATTTTTACTCCCCCATCTCCAGCAGTTGTCATTTATGCTTATGTTCTCAAGACCCGGTGTGTTTTGCCCAGTGTGAATTCATTGCATCTTACCAGAATGTTTCCTTGGGCTTCATGCAGGCAATGGACAGCTAGTTCTAGGTTGGTCCCTCCCCCTGGCATCGCACTGGAGCAGGCCAATTTTAACAGATCCGTTACTGCAAGTGAGATTTTTTTTAAAAGCATGAACAAATGGCTGCACAAGAGTAATTAAAAT